TAGGAGCTAGGCAATGGCAGGTACAAACACTATAGCGACTATTATGCAACTAGTAAATACGCTCATCAGTCATCTGCATGTCAGGTAACTCTTTCCAGTTTTAGACATTGAGCTTAAAATTGTGGACTTAAACAAGACACATTAAAAGAAGATCTAAGCTAGAGCGCCTTGGTAAATGAGTGGTTCCAACTAAAACCATGTTACCGCAACATTGGCAGTTTGATTCCAGTTGCTGGCCTTTGTTGCATGTCATACCCCCATCTCTATCACGCATTTCCTTTCTTCCACCTTCACTGTCACTGTCCAGTAAAGGGCGAAAATGCCAAAGAAAATATCTTACATTTCCCAAAATGCATCTCAATAGTATCTTTTTGTTAGCCCCCTTGTCTTGTAAAAGCACATGCCCAGATCGTAATGCAGGCAAGTAAATTTACCTTTGTGTTAAAATTACCCATTAAATGTATGAACACTGTACATCACCATGCAAATGATTTCTCTTAAAAAACGAGATGATCTGCAGTAGTAGCAGCAGCATACAGCAGAAACATACAGAATGTGGAACTACTGAAAAACTCTAGCAAACTATATTTTAATACTAAAAAGCAGCAATCAGACTGCAGTTGAAAAGCACAGATGTACAGGAGTTACCTTGCCAACCAGGAATCATATGCTCCTCTCTTTCTCCAATCTCCCACATTCAACCTCACCATACTGTTCTCAACGTTATTCATTTGGGTCCACTCTTTCACTCTGGATGGAGCTTGGATGTTCACTTTAGCTGCAGCAGCTTTTCCTCCCCTGCTTGAGATCAAAACAGACCCAGTTGCCAATTACTGTCTCAAATCCCTTCAGAACAGGCAACTGTAATTAAGCTTGGCCAAAAAAAATAATTGTACATATTTTACGACCTTTAGATGATTCATATCCCTCTGAGGTGCCGTGGAACAGGGACCCACGTGGTTCATTTAGTTGTTCAAACAGAATTCAGATGAAACAAAGGCATAATAAGAGGGCTTCTGTTAGGTGGGGAACATATTATATTCATTACCTTGATGTTGTTTAGTTAGAGGTTGAATTAAATAAGCAAAAAATAATTAAACTGAACTAAAAATTGTTACAAGTAAAATTTAAACAATACTAGACTGTGGTCAGCAACATACACAGGCTTCAGTAATTTAAAGCCCTTATGTATAGGGCTGTGTAAAATGTCTTACTTTAGCTACTGGTCAAACTAAGCAAGGATGTAGAAATAAAACCCCATGACGGCATTGAGTTAAGATTGCATTTTATTACTTATGACCTCAACTTTTCATTTGTAAAGGGAACAATTTGTAATTTTAACTTTCATAAAGTACCCAGTCTTGCGTACCCTATAAGAGAAACTATGATGGTCATTTAAAAACATTAAAGACCTTCAGTGTTTGGTTTGTCCATTCTGGGCTACTGTAGAAACATCGCAGTTCAACATGGCTGCTGTGAAAAAGGTCTGTTGCAGGCCTACCGTTCAAACAAGAACTATCCCACTCTCAATCTTCCTGCTGTTTGTTTTGAGGTGGTGGTGACTGAAGTTATTGTGAAACTGAATTTTAAAATAGATGAACACTACAAACATTATGAAAGCATTTTTGATCCTACTTTGGTCAAACTGAAATGTATGTTGATATAATATGGAGCCTTCAGATTTAGTGATTCACTTAAACAGAAGGATTAGAGAAATTATATGTACAATATCTCCAAAGTAATGAAATCTCAAAACATATAGCTAAAATTACGTCCAACAGGGCAACACGATTTTGGATAGTCATGCAGCAGGTAAACCAGCTGATTAGCTACTGTAACGCTTGTTACTCTTTGCGTTAACTATAACTTGATAGTTACTATACTAACTACCTTTGGGTCGTGGGTGAACACGGGGAAAACTCCATCTTTGTTACTCGATCCACTTTTTAATGACCGTTTCAACAGTAGGACAACTGAACACTCTTCATCATATCACTCCGCCCAATCTTAACCATATGTGTACATTCCAGGAACATGTACCTTATCTTCCTCCAATCACATTAGTCCGAACAGAATACAAATATGCTATATATTATACAATTAATAATTATGCAAATTCAATAAACTGTAAAATGTAATTCACAAATAAATCTCATCTTACATTAGTTTAAATTACGCACAATATTAAGTTGACGTAATTACCAACATTATTATATCAACACAACTCATATAACATTTTTTGCAACTTGAAAGATCTAAATCATTATATTAGAACTTTTTAACTTGCAATCATGCATTTAATTAAGTTGTGATAATAGGTCCACTGAGTTACTTTTTATAGTGATAGCCTGACATAACTGCTAGCATGGCACGGTAGGCTCTTTCCTCCATGTTGCAATGATGTTCCTTCTTTTATTCTCAATAGTTGTTGATTGTCAATGGAGATTGATTGCAGCTACTATGTTTTTAGAGGAGAAACAATGAGTCACACAGAAACTGCAACCATTTTCATTAGATTGAAGAAGTGGATACATAAATGACTAATCAGTGGTCAACCATAGTAATGTAATGGATGCCACAGTTAAAGGTAACTGATTGAGGGTCAGCTCCGTGACCCTGAGCGGGAACAGGCAGGTATGGCTAACATATTGATGGTGTTGCTCCCATTTGGACACATGGTGTAATTTCTCATTGTAGTTTGAGATAATCTACTTTGATACTAAGGAAACTATCACAGATTCTTTGGCATACACATTCGCACACTCAAGTAGCACATTGCTTTGATAACATTCTATCAGAGTATGACGTATTTCCTTACAATTTGTTCTGCTTGATGAGGTCAAAACTCCAGCAACTCGTATTTTAGAAATAACTACTTTATTGCGAGACTGCTGTGTTTCGGGTTGTGGCCCTCATCAAACAACACACTACAAAGAACATTTAAATTAGTTGAGTAAGACAGTATTTGCCGACTTAAATGGTGACCAGCTCGCTACAAGTAGAGCAGATGATCGGGAGCTCTGATTGGATTGGATACTTGAAGTCCATCATTATCTGTCTGACATATGTACGCCTATGTAGAGACTCTCAGGTTGTGTACTAGGTATTAAGATGTGTGTGCATGTTCGTGTGTGTTCGATCCACTTCTTTGAATTACAGTCTAACCCTACTGTTTGTATCTGCATGGAGCCCAAGTCTAATTTCCTCCATCCCTCTTCAGCCCTTCTCCCAGTACACCAGGAGGAATTAAATGTTTTGGAGAAGCTCTGAAAACTCCCTTGTGATCATACAGGTTAAGAGAGAGCAAGGCTGATCCCTGGATAGCCGTTTATGTAAACAGATAAGGTCTATGGTTAATGCAAGCTTAAGAGATTTTAAGATTTGTGGCTAAATGAGACTACAGAGGTTGTTAAACACAGAGCCTTATCTACTCACTAGTCCGCCTTAACTGTTGTGTTTATACTCGTGCTCTTGCAAACTATTGTAACTCAAACTTTTAAAGTTTTAGGTTTTAATTACATGATTTAATGACAACTTGGAAGTTTGGTGGTGGTGGCATTGAAGTCATGCGACCATAGTGTACTGCTGAATTGTGAGGGGATGGTGTTCTGTAGTATATCCATGTACCATTCAAGTGCAGCTTTTTGGAACTTTTATCCATTTTGTCCTTTGGTTTTGACATTGGACCGCATGTGTTAGACCCAGGTTTCCCAACTTTGTTTGGCCCTTGAAGATCCAGTGTATAGGATTTACCAAACAAAATAACAATAATTCCTATATTCAGGTG